GTGTGTGTGTGTGTGTGTGTGTGTCCAGGCACAGGGGCATTGTCTGTCTGTCTGTGTGCAGGCACAGGGGCAGTGTATATATGTGTGTGTGTGTTCATAGGGTGAGTCCCACATGCGTAGCCCTCCATACACATGCACCTACGCCTCCCCTCGCACTGCCATACACAAACCCCAGACACCGTCCCGCTATGCACACCCACACCCCACACACCCACAGCCCCCACAAACCTATACCCACCCCCCACAATATACAAGAATAAGACTTCATTTTAAGCTATTGTACAGTCACCTCTGCATACACTACACAAACACATGTAAATCAGGACAAAAATATTTTTTGAAATCAACTGAATGAATGTTGTAGATGATCACTTTTTAGAATATAATTTGGTATTTTTCTGGTTCTGAGATTGCAAAACCCCATGTTGAAAGGAGTACTGGGGGCAAGGGGAGAGACTTCTGGTGGCAAAGGTCAGGGCTTAGTGGGGGTGGTAGTCCTGCTCACAAGATGGTGAACAGGGGGCAGGGCATCTGTCAAGAGGTGGGACTACCCATGTGGCCTTTGACAGCTTGCCAAAACTTGGTAAGCAGCCCTCCGCCTGAGATAATTGCCCACCCCGACATAGATGCTGTGCAAGCTTCCTCCATTCAGCTTTGCCCAGGCACCTGAATCCTGACCTTCCAAACCTCCTCTGGACCCTGCAAGGCTCTGATGATGCACGTAAGTCCTGACAGGCAAGAGTTGATGCCTTGTGCTGTTCACAAAGCCTCAGCTCCTAGAGTTACTTTACTCTGTGGGAAACTCAAGTTTTCATTTAAAAATAAACACAAAGTGTTAGCTTTCCTGGGTGTGGAGTAGCTGAAAACACACCCCTAAAGGCAAATGAAAAGAAGCTCCAAATTTATCCTTTTTATACCAAAGAGTTCCTGCTATTTTAGTCATGGACACTGCTGTGTCAGCACACCTCTTTTTGAACTAAACTGTCTCTCCTGATCTGTTTTTGGCCTCTCTGCATCACAGACTCTTTGTTGTAAGAGCTGGCTTTTGATTTTGAGATAATTGCTATGTGGATACACCACAGGTGTACACAAGTGAGGCGTGTCTAACATAAGACAAGTTGCTGCCTTGAGGAACCTCATCACAAGAGCTGAGTGTATTTATGGTAATGACTGAAGTGTGATAAAGGCAAAGCAGGAACAACACAACGGACCTCAAAGCACACAAAGCTTGAGTCTCCTCTCACTTTCACTACCAGAAGTTAGCAGGAGTTCCTCTGAAGTCAGTGGAGGAAAGCTGCTATAAAATCAGGGGAAGAAAACCTTTATGAGAAAGTTGCATGGACTTAACTTAAACTGGTTCTTAGTTCTTAAACTTGCTTCTTCAACCACCAATTAAGTTAAACTGATTTTAACTCCATATGGCTTCTCTTATTTTGGTTTAGTGGTGTTCAACTTTCAGCCTGCAAAACTGTGTTATCCAGCCCACAGGTCTCCCTGGGGGTCTGGAAATTTGGCAGCAGGGAAGCAGTGGTAGAATTAATTACTGTTCTCCTGTTGCCGAATTTCCAGACCTGTAGGGAGCCCCACACACTGGATGATGTGGATCTGCATGCTAGATCACGCTGGCACATGGGACTAGAAGATTGAGTACCACTGGTTTAGCTTGTGATAGTTAAGAATTAGTTTAGGCAAGTCCTGAGAGGCCTGCATAGTGGTGAGACCTACAAGAAGCACAATGAAGTCACTTATTTAGGTATATGACCTGACCTATGTTTGTACTCAAGAGTCACAGATAGTGGAAGAGTTTGGGGCTGCTGTGACCATGCTCATATTGGCTAAGTACAGCCAGTCAAAAAGCCCAAGGCTGAATTGATTTAGTCTTTGCAGGTTCGTCTAAGCTGCAAGGATTGAACCAATAAGCAAATGAACAGACATTCACTTTTGATTCAGGAAGTGTAACCCATGTCTGCAGTGGCTTAGGCCAGAAGATAGAGGGCACTAGAGCACGGCTCTCTGGCACATAGCCAGCATGGGCTGTGTGTTTGCTTCCTCTTCCTGCTGCTCCCAAGGTCTCTGGCGGTCCACAATCACAGTAGCAGGACTCTGCAGAGTTACACATCACTTCCTCTTCCTGCTTCTAGGTGCCTTAGGATTTGTAGTCCCCAGCTGCAGCCAGCACTAAGTAAGCAGGGCAAGGCAGCTCTGTACTCAGGGGAAGGAAAGTTTAACCCCCTTCCTGGCCATAGATCCCAGCAGGGATTTGGCCAAGGCGGGACAGGCAGTGAGTCAGCCCTCATTGCCCCAGCTAGGGAGTGGAGGGGCAGGGCCAGCCCTGCTCTCTGGAGCAGACAGCATAGCCCAGCCCACGGCTGCAAAATGCTGGGGGACTATGATTTAACTTGAACCAGGAAGGGGTCTGGGTCTGGGATAGAAGTTTCATAAACCGGTTTGACTTAAATTAGGTAAGTTGTCTTATCATTCAGTCAGGTTTATCCAGCCATTTAAACTTGTTTATGTGCACTGAACTTCTATTTTGTTACAGGTTTAAACCAATTTCTGATCACTTAAACCAGTTTACATGCAACTTCCATCCCTAGCCATTGTAGCTAGAAGACTGGACTGTCCCACGGAAAAGATGATGAACTAGACAGGGCACAGGAATCACTATGTGAGGTCCCATGGACTCTGTGGTGCAGGAGGCCAGACTTGGTGATTGTAATGGTCCCTTTCTGGCCTGAGAGTTTATGAACATAAACTGGGCTCTCTTCTACCCACCTGTCATCCAGGTGGAATATAGAAGTCCCGTGTCATTTTGCACAAAGATGAAGAAGCAGCTTAAAGAACTTGGCTTATGGCCCTCTGCCCCTACAATAAATTAGGTACTAATACCTTTCTTCTCTTCCAGCCCCGCTGTTCCCAATGGAAGGGCCTGGAGCTGTGTATAAGCCTTTGCAAAATGCACCTCATATCTACATGATCATTGCGTGGCTAGAACTCAGTTATATTTTGTCCAGTACCTTGAGATACCTCTGATGTGATATAAAACTATATTCTTCTCTCTCCATCTTCTGTTGCATCTACTAGCAGATTTGATGTCCTGGATTGTTGGGATTTTCCCTAGTCTGTGATCTATGCATATAATAGGGCCTTATATAGTTCCTGTCAGTAGTTTTCCAAATATATTAAGTAGGAGCATAAAAATTCTTACCTTTTCTTTATAAATAGGGACAGTATGTCAGGTGAGGTGAAGTGACTTGCCCAAGTGACTCAGAAAACTATTTGCAAAACTGGAGATACAACACAAATCTCCAGATAATCCGTCCGCTTACATATCTGCTGGTTCTAAGGCCTCTATATGCTCTGACATCATTTAACATTGGTTGTTAAACCCAGCTGTGGACAGGCTGGTTTTAGCACATGTTGATCTAGCCATGTGGCAGGGGCCAACTATTATTCTCTGATGAATATCGAGCTTCTAAGCCTCAAAAGCTGGAACAAACAGTGCTAGAATATTGTTACTTTTTAACTGCATACAGATCCCTAGATGGCTCCATTCCTTGTCATGTTGGGGGAGCTTAAGAAAAAGACCATTCAATGTTCACTCCTAGATTAACCCTCTCACAGGCCTGTGTACTAGCACTGGGATCTCTTGATAGGACATTTGGATGAACTTGTGCTTTCCCTGAATTTTGGCATGTTCAGAGGAACAACACTCAGTCCACTCCCGTCTGAGACCGAGTGACTCCCACAGTGGCAGCCTAAGGGTTGATGCAATTTGTACAGCTGCTTGTTTTCACTCAGATGCCTGGGGAGACTGGAAAGGACTACAGAAGAAATGGGAGGGTGTTGTTGTTGCTCTGCAGAGGAAGGGATGGTTTACTAGTATCACAGAAATGTGTAGGTATATGTATGTGAATCTGAAGGGAAAGAGCTGGCTCCGTTGACAGCTCAGGGCCACTGAACCAGAGTATGGCACAGCTGGAGCTCCTTTTCTGCTCTCCACAGGCATTTATTTCTCTGCAGGGATGAAAGGAAGGCATGGGATAGCATGAGGAGGTGGAGTACTGGTATACATCTCAGTAACCCTGGGAATCTTGCATCCTTCCTCCTAACAGGAGCCTTTGCAAAGGTGAAAGAGAGTCAGCGGATGAGTGATGAGGGGAAAATGGATCAGGACGAGGCAGATGGGATTCGGAAACGTTGCCGCGTGGTCGGCTTCTCCCTGCAGGCTGAAATGAACCACTTTCATGAGCGACGCATGGCAGACTTCAAGAGAATGATGCAGTCCTACCTAAAACAGCAAATCATCTTCTACCAGAGGGTCAGCCAGCAGCTGGAAAGGACTTTACTCATGTATGACAACCTCTAATGCCTTCTGACTTGATGCATGGACTTATTCCTCTTCATCTGAACTCATATGGTTTTGTCTTTGGAACCTCCCAGACCTCTGTTTGAGGTGAACTGAGAATTAATGGAAACTCATAACGCTAGTGACCAAAATCCATTTGGCTTTCCTCCATCTTCCTGGAGCTCAGGTGCTGCAGGGAATGTGTTACATTCATGTCTTCCAACTGACTCATGTCCGACTGACTCATGTCATACTGCTACCTTCCCTGATAGCTGGACCCCTCCACTGATCCTGTCTCTGAGAGACTGTGGAGAAGACGTGGGTATCTTTCATAAGGGAACAGACATTGAATTTGTGGTGCTGGTATCTCTGGTTTTGCAGTAAGTTGTAGCTTTTGGAAACATGTTCCACTAGAGTAGGGAGGTTGATACATTACAGTCTAGAGGGAAAATAAGTAGAGTTGGTCAAAAATTTGCACACCAAAAACTTTTCTGATGGAAAAAATGGCCTTTATTTGAAATTTTTTTGTGGCAATTTTTCCATTTTCAACAACATTTTTACCAATTAGTTTTTAATAGAAATGTTGATGGAAATCATGTTCCAAATCTTTATCGGATGTGTCTGTTTACCGAAAATGTTCCATAGTGTTTGCAATAAAAATTTCAACATAGAAATTTCACCTTTTGTGGAAAATGAGTCCAAGGGAAAGAAATCACATTAGGCACATCCTTGCACAAATCTAGTTCCAGTTTTGGCCAGCTCTAGAAAAAAATGTAGTGTTCACTTGACTGCTGAGGTTCCAAGTTATCCTAAGAAGATCCATGTGAGTTGTACCTTGTTTGACATATGGTCATTTTCACTCTTGGACCAGAATGATAATCCTGGCCATTCTTGCCCTCAGAAAAAAAAGAAACATATAGTAAATACACGAGAAAGGATCATTCTCCCTCTAACATGAGGGAGCCCATAGAGTTCTCTCGGGGTTGTTTCCCCCTACTCAGTCTAAAACAAAACAGGAAGAGATAGATACCGGTGAGGGGCTACACGTGATAAAAAGAGCATCCAGTTCTAAGCCTCTTAACCCTAAGCCCTCCCATTCCAGGTACCCTCAACTTGCTGCTTATTTCATGCTGACTTTCCTCTGACTTGGCTTCAGTGGAGTTGCTCTTATCTTGGGCAACAATCTGGTCCACTGTCACATTGCATTGCTGCAGCTAAGCTTTTTCTTTTTTTACTTAATTGAAAGAACAAAAAGGAAAATTCCCTACCAGTCTCAGTAAGAGGGTCTGGGCTAGATTCTGCCCTGGATTGCATGGATATAGATCTGGAGTAATTTCTCAGTAGTCATTAGATTTACACTGGCATGACTGTGAGATGAATAGAGCCCTGTTGTCCCTTCTGCTTCTACACCTTCCTATGCTTTTCAGCTCTAGCCAGAGTTGCTTTCCCCACTATCCCTGCAAGGATGAAGCTGCTCAAAGTCATGTTGGCCATGACACTGTCTTGGCTGTTTCTCCCCCACTTTCTGCTCATCTCTCATGTAGCACCAGCATTTAAGACATGCACTTAGGATACCAGAATGGTTAACACTTGGTTGTATGAAACACACCAATCTCTGCTGGTTGTATAGAAGAACTTGTATAGCTCATTCTCCTCTTTCTTCCAGAGGGCTGATGTACTCTTGACAGAAGACTAGTCCTGGTAGCTTCTCACTTGCTGCAGGTTTCACTCTTGCCCCCAGCAACAACTAATGCTGATGAGTGCTTGAGGGACCAAGATGTTCAAATTCTTTGGCACCAAGGGCTGCGTTGGGAAATTGCCCGGGCCCGTAAGCTGGGTCTTCATCTATTTTTCCATACACTCTCTCTGTGCTGATAATAAATACAGACTGTTCAGCTTTCCCAAAACCTTCCTTAAGAGAGAAACACAAGCTCCTTGTTGGTTGAGCTCACCCACACTTGGCTTAGGCAGTTCTGTCCTGTTCCTGCCTTTGCAATGAGAGGGCTCCCTCTTTTTCAGACTTCAACACCATTTTAGGCCTCAGACTGTAGTTCCTGGACAATCCTGGTTTATCATTGGCTGCTTCTTCAAGTCACCGAGTTTGTCACTTAGGCAATAAAAGCTGCATTTTCAGAATGCTGAGTGTGCAGCTCTTGTTGATTTCTCCTGGTGCTCTAGCTGCTCAGCCCCTTGGAAAATCAGGCCCTGAGGCTATAGGCACTGTACTGAATAAGTCCTTCTCCTGTTGGGGTAAAGGAACCAAGGCAGCTGGGTATGGGGAAGCCGGGCTGCTCATCTCCCAGGCTTTATAGATGCCAAAGAGAGCATTTCAGTCTCTGTGACAATGAAGAGTCTTGCTAGCATCCACCCCATGACCCCATGCACTGCTGTCATACAGATCCTATGAAGACTGGCAAAGGGCAGTCAGCTTGTACTTTGACCTTCCTGGAAACCAACATGCCAGGTCAAGAGACATTGACGGAGCAGCTTGAGTCTGGACAATGGACTGATACTTCTGCAGCTGGGGAGATCCCTCAGTGACTGCAGTGGGTTTCCCGCCCCCCTCCTTCCTCTACCTTATACATACTTTATTTCGTTATAAACAATCCTCTGAGGCTCCATATATGGCTGCTTGGGGTGGGGGCTGACCAGGTGCCAAAGAAGTGGCTGGAGGAATGGAGCGTAGATTAAAGTTAACCCTTTATTGGAGGGGGCAGAATGTGGGGGCAAAGGGAGAGAAGAAAAGTAAAATCTGAAATGAGCCATCCCACACAGCAAGGGGAGAGCATATATACCGTCTGCATCTAAACAGCATTTTGGGAAGGGAGGGGCTGTGGATGCAGAGGAAACCAGGGAGGATTCAAGGATCAGGTGCCATGCTAGAGCTGTGTGTGTTTGTAGGGGGAGAGCCTTTACCATGACACTGGGCTGGGAAAGCAAAGAGGCCCAGCGCGTGGGCCTTGTTTTTCCAAGGGAAACATCAAAAATAAATGACAGCCAAGAAGAGATGTTAGGCCATTTGGAGTTATTCCAGGGTTAAAAATAGAACGGAAATCATGTGGACCAGCTGGGTATTGTTAAAAGAATAACATCCTTGGGAATGTAGTAGGCTGCCCCTTCTCCGTCCCGGGGAGGAGGAGATTGGTCTGTACCTTTACATTTCCGCATCTGCTAAGAACTGCATTTTCTCCCTGATTTTAGATAACAGGCAGAGCCCTTGTACAGGCTGGGCACTGAGCTGTGGGCCTGCCACAACCCTGCTACAGTCACACAGCCAGAGCCGTCCCAGCACCTCTGGTCCCCACAGGGGTTTGACACCCTTCCTGGCAACTCCCCCTCCAGGTACATAGGGCTGGGAGAGGCTGGAATAGGACTTTGTGGAGGACCTGTTGCTAGCTCCTCTGTATTGCTTCCTGTCTGGTGTTTGGCTGCTGTAGGTCTGAGCTACCTCCAGCACTGGCAGTGCTGCCTCATACTCCCTGCAGCACTGCTGGTGAACAGGAGGGGCCTGGCCCAACTTTGCATGGCTTTCCTGCTGCCACACAGTTAGAGTGCCTCCTACTGGGGGAGGTGTGGCTTGGATTAGGTGTACCATAACCTCCCAAGGGCCAGAGAGGAGTGTTACCCCCATATGCTGTAGGCTGCCCTTTGCTCTCTTTACTTGTCTTGTGCTGCTAATGCCCTAGGAGGGTTAACAACTTGTTTGTATCCTAGCTGGACAGAGAGTTGTGTGATGCTGTGGCTCTGGAGGGGCTGGATGAAAGCTCTGTCCTTACCACATGCTGAAACCAGATGTTGCGTGGAGGCTGTGGATCCCAGCCCCTTATTCAATCCCATTCTTTTCTGAGAGAACACAATAGACAATGAGCCTGTGCTCTCCCTCCCTTTGGAGGCAGGCAGGAGGGAGCCTATTGTTCCCTTCAGCCAGCAAAGAAAGCCCAGTGGAAGAGGAGTGTGACCTAGGCAACAATCTTCCCTCCCTCCCCCAGCACAGGAGATATCTTGCCAGCTAATAGGCGGGAGCCAAGGTTGGCACAGTCCCCAGTCAACACAGTAGGGCAGGCTCCTGGTGCCACTGTTAGCATGCTGGTGGTCTCTGCTGGGTGACTGGGACCCCAGATAACTCTGGTACAGTCTCCAGAGGAAAACAGACCATGCATAGAGTGCCAGCTCTATAGGATCTCCTTCCCTCTGGATAACTGCCAGTTGCTGGACAGCTCTTGTTGCTGGATGGTTATAGGCCAGAGGGCACCTCTAGGCCTGCATGACCTGCAGTCAGGCATCTCTGCAACATCTCAAGTTATGTCCTGGTTTAACTCCTGCTGAAGTCAACTGGAGTTTTTCCACTGACATTAATGGGACTAGGGTCAGGTCTGGAGAGATCTGGAGAAGCAGCTAGGGCCCATCCTGCCACATCTGTGCCTGTCCGTCCTTGCCACGGGATAGTTCTGTTCACTGGGTTAGAGGCTAGGTTCTTGTGTGCTCAGCTCAAATCTCAAGAGTTCAAAAGACCACCCAGCAGGGTTTGGAGGATGTGGATTCCTGGCAATCCCTAATTTGAAAATAGCCCTTCTGAGAACTGTGCCTCTGGTTTATATTTCCAAGGATATGTGGGATGGAAGAAGAAGCGCCACCTTCCTGCGGATGCTGTGGGAAGAAATTCCCTCAGGAAGTTGACCCCAAGTAGAGCCCTGGGAAATGAGCCTTCTCCCACCCCCTCGACTGACACACAGCCCCTGACGCTTGTCCCTTCCCTCTCTCTCCATGATACACAGGCTCTTCCACAAGTCTGAGAGTTGCTAAAATGGGGGCTCTGAGACAGGTTTCTAAATCCACATCCAGCTCCTGGATTTTCAGTAGTGCAGAATGCCCACACATAGGCATCATTATTATTTTAGTTCCACTGCAGTAGATCCTGAAGAGACGAACACAGTCCTTCAGTGCCAGTTTTGTGTACCCTCATTTGGGAGTGTACAAGTATTACCACTAAGAAGGTCCCCAGTACTGATGGCTCCCAGTCTAGAGTTCAGACAGTACTCAATGAGGTATGAGCAGACACGTGGGAATGGGCAGGGTGACAGCAAAGGAGACTGCATAGGTCAGCAGCCCCTGTAGCCTCAGGAGGGCCCACACTGCCTGTGTGCACAGCCCACCTGTTCCTGCTCCATATATGCAAATCCTGGATATGAGCTAGTGAAGCTGCCTCCTAGCAGCCCTGAGCATGTGCCTAAAAGCAACCCTGACAGAGAGCCTAAGAGTGGTGGGTGTGCACCACTCAGCACCACAATGCCTGCATAGCCTTGTTAGCTGGAGCTGGCATAAAGCCTAGGAGTGAGTGGGCAAGGTATACTTTACAGTGGAACTCCTGAGTGTGGACCGGAGGCAGTGTTGATGCATCCTCAGCCATCACAGGCAGTTGCCAGTATAACCAGTGCCAGACGAGCAATTCAGGAGCAGCCCAGCGGAGGCTGATTCGAAGCAGGGATTCCAAAGGGGATGATATAGTGACTAATTGGGTCCTGAAGCCAATGAAAACTACTCACCACCTCTGCCAGTTGGGCCTAGAAGGGTCAAGCTGACAAAGCTGAAATTCTGAAAATGTGGGTCTGCCCCATTCTGTGCCTCAGTTTCCCCAGCTGTAGTGCAGGGAGTCCTGACCTTCTACTTTGCAAAGTGTTTTGAGGCCCACCACTGACAACATGCAATGCACAAACACAGCATGACCCTGCCTCTTCAACTGGCCTGCAGTCTCTAGCTTGTTCATACTGAGAAACCTCCATTCTTTCAGTGCCAGGGGCTCCTCTGTGCCTTAACGGAGTTCCCTTGCTTTTGCTGGAGTGGGCTCCTATCCTGGATCTGCTGAAAGCGCAAGGAAAGATCCAACTCCCTGAAGAGCACATGGCCCAGAAAACCCCCAGGACCTGTTAGGTTTTGCTAGGAATGGCCACAAAAAGCAAAGCAGATGCAGGGGAAGAGTGAACCTGTTTTCCATTAACATTCCTGCCTTCTCCCTGTCAGTGGCCCAGCTCTGGGTGAGGACCATGGCTCCTCCCTGCCCCGTGAGTGCACATTTTAACAGATTGACTCAACAGTGAAAAGCAGAAAAATCCCCTCTGTTTTACCAAGCCCATAAAGCAACCCTGCAGAGGAACTGACAGGCTGAAAGACCATGGAAAGGAGGTGGCACTGATGTGTAGGAAGTGCAGAGTGACCCTAGTGGTCTCCTCTAAATCTTTACCCATAAAATTCAATGTATCTTGTGCCTCCTTATGCTGCTCCCTCCCTACTACAGCTGGGATTCTGCCTATCTGTACCTCCCTGGTAATGGGACTGGGAGTGCTCCACGACTTGTGTTGGGCAGGAGTACAGACAACTTCATGTCACTGGGGCTAGAGCTGGCACTGCAAAACAGCCAAGGAACCTCCATTCTGATTGCCTTTCGTACAAGTTTGGCCACAACTTTTAAGCTCCCATGGTTCACTATTGCTTTAGATAAGTCTGGTTAAATAAGAAAGGAATGAGTGTATATAGTGCACATTTTGGAACACTAAAGGGAGCTTGGATGGAGCCTCTTCTTACTTGGGAGATGGTGAACATAAAAACAGCATCCTCATTAATGGGTTGCTGTGAGTGCAGTGAAGTTTATCCCTGTGCTGAAAACCAAATGTGCTTCAAGCATCTGCCAAGTCCCACCTGAGGTCTCAAAACAAGGCTTCAGTGGAGCCTAGCAGGTGCATAGGTTTGGGGCAGAGTCCCTGCACAGGGGTTCCAGCAGAAACATCCAGGCACTCAAAGGTCAGACTACTGCCAGTATTACATGGTCACCAGCCCTCTGGACTCTGGATTCTTCTGCACAGGCTTCAATGTGATGCCATCTTTCCTGAGTTATTCTACAGCCTTAAACCTACATGGAACATCCTTCCATGCATTCTGCGTGCTGGTCAGGGTCCCTCCAGCCACGTGGAGGGCAATGTGCACAGTGCACTGCAGACGGGGTAGAGCATCAGGGGGTAAAAGTGAAGATGTGGTGGCATGTGCAGGCCTTACAATCATCACTCTGCCACCATCACTCTCTGCTCCAGAACTAAGAGATCCACTGCAACTGAAACCAGATTTGCCCAGTTAACCTGGTCTGT